AAAATACACGCGAAAGTTTTTTAAAAATTAGAAAAATTTGGGGGGCATGTCGTGCAACTGTGTTGTAAATCACTCACGTCATATCAATCAGATCGTTACGTGTCGCATTAAACGTTGGTCTATCCATGTTGACAGAAAATCTTGTTTCGAGATGAGTGGGTTCTCTCACCATTATTTTATATGTATTTCGATCACATGTAAAAAGCGTGTTTCTTGTTTCCTTATATTTCAGTGAAGGCCTTGTTCGTACCAATGTTTGTACACATTTACTAAAGAATGACACATACAATAAGTCTTGTCTCTAATCTTGTATAGAAGTAAATTAAATGGGAAAGACAACAATGTATATTACGGTATGGGATTAAAATAGCTACGCAAACACGATGATGTGATGGACAAATTTAGCTTGTCCTCTGCCCGTAATATTTGTATTCCCAAACAGAGAAACCAGTGATGCGCCCATGTTTCCTTTCCTCGTTAGCTTTGAACATGCTGCAGTAAAACATTCTGATATCGGTATGCATTATCGTCCTAGTCTCAGAGAAATTCGAATTTATAACAGAACCTTTCCTCGTTGTCATTAGCATCATTCCAAAGTTGCATGTGAGAAAACAAACAGTGAAATGGATAATTAGTTCTTATTGGCCGCCGCAGAAAAGAAGGTAACCAAATCCGGTGGAAAAACATTTTACTGCGGTTGTGGCAAAATCTTTTCCGATAGCACAGCCCCCCCCCCGCATTTCGCTGGTGCGAGTTGCTAATAAACAAAATAGAAATCACAACGTTGTTTTAATTACAAACAGCATCAGTAGTCGGTTCAACCTTACATTGCATGAGCTGTTTGTATACAAGCCTGTTGTTCAAACCAAAGCAAAATCCTGCTCTAGAATGTCTTTGTGTGGCTGTGTTATGTTATCAGTGTGAAAACTCCGAGCTCCGAACCTTATATCCGTGTTACTCGAGATTGCGCCAAGAATGAAAGGGCATTAACTTTTTTTTAATTCACAGATTAGTTGTGGGATTCTCACACTCTTCGTCTGTACTTCTTCATATGGCAGTCTGTGTCAATGATTGTCCGTATATAGTATTTTTCAAAAGTAAACCTTTATTATTATGTCAATGAGGAGGCAATTATATAAAATTTAACAAATTTGGTTAGACATTCCAAAAGACTTGTCGTTATATGGAATATAGTAGTCATTAGTTAAAATAATAAATTTTTTACCATTCGTGACAGAGACCGACTATTTGTTTGTTGAATAAAGTCTTACACCATCAACTATTCAATTGTGTTATAACGATTGTTCTTGATACGGAATAAAGTTTGGTAACAAAAGTAAAGCATTTTAGGGTTAACGAAATATTGTTTTAACGAATTGTTCGAACCACAATCAATTGATTGTTGGATGACTTAAAAATTTTTTACTTTGTGAAACGAGCTTGGCCATAATCAAATTAATGGGATTGCAGTTTACTGAGTAGAGTTGTAGACAATAAATAAAAAACAGAGAATTGTACAGTGAAATGTTGACTTCGCTTATTAATTATTTTGGGCATGCTTGCAACAAAACCAACTACGTAAACATTTTATTATGTGGCATAAATGAGAGGCTGAAAGTAGATTAATTTGTTAATACGACATTTTGGTTATCACGGCTATACATTTCAAATTAATATCGCGCCACAATGTAACTAACATAAAAATGTCGCGGCTGACCATAACTTCATTGGTTGATCAATTTTATTTAATCCCATTATAATTACCATTGGTTAGTTTCAGCTTCTAAAATCCAGTGAATTATATTGCAATGCAGGGCCTCTTGCAAATTACAGATTCTATACATTTACAATGAGATTGTTTTGTTCAGTCTTGTTGATTGACATGTCAATAAATCTGAGAATAATGTATTGATGTTATAAATATTGAATAAGTAAAAATCTGTCCCTAAAATTGAATGATCACCTGGTCTGGTTTTGTTGCCAGCATGCCCCATGCAGTAAGCGAATCTACCGTAGATTAATAAAACAATAAAATGCATTATCGCACGAGTAACTGATAGTTCTCAACTGAGACAAGTTGGAGAGGACTCGACCAACCACTTTGTGCAGTCGTTTCACTTGATAAATTTGTATCATATCACCGAGTATTATAAAAATATTGGTACAACATTTTTGTATTATCGCTCCCAAAAACTTAAACCCACAACGAAAAATTCATTTATGAAAATAAATAGATTTAATTTGCGAAACATTTATACATGTAGGATTATTTATATTAAAGTCTATAGATAAATAACAATGATGATAATGATACTATTGAGTTAAAAGACATTATGACGAAACTACATTTTTTACATCACTATCCACTTGATCGTTAGTCAAACTATTTGGCACAGGCTGCCGTTCTTCATATAATGCCCGCGTTGTGTTAGTACTGGGGAAGTACGGTCTTGCCAGCTGCAGAGCTCTCAAATAACCAGATGTAAAATGATCTTTTATAAAAGGCGGTACGAATCTATTCGTTTTATCCTCCTCTTCGTTGCTAGACTTGTTCTCTTCCGCTTTTTTCTCCGGCTCATCGAGCAGCAACCCATCAACTTCCGTCTTTGGTCTACGCCCGTCCTGGAAAAGCCTTATAGCTTCGCCGACATGAGCGTAATCAAAAATATAATTATCGCTAAGGTACTGCATTATTTCGGGGTTGTCGAATCCAACCGGAACGTTGCAGACAATGTCTTTATCGTCGATTATGCGCCAGCATGTGTTAAACCGATTAGATGGTGTGTTACAGAGCGAGGAAAAGTTAATTGCGAATTCACCATTCCCTATGCAAGGCGTCCCGTAGATGTAGGCGTCTCTGTTGTGCACGATATAATAAAAGTTTGTTTTTTTTAATAAAATATTCATTAAAAAGGTACCAAGAATTATAGTTAGACTTTCAATATACCTTAAAATACAATCATCCGGCAGATCAGCAGGACTGCGCATTAATCTCGCATAAAACAAGGTTGCAAGGGCACTTCCCAATGAATGCCCAGTAACCCAGACGTTAATACTGGTTTCACTTCCCTTGACGCTCTTAATATCGTTTATGATATCAATCAAGTTCTTCAAGATATTCCTATACGAATAACTCTCAATCAACTTTGAACGCCCCTTCTTCTCCTTCCCGAATAGCATTCTATAGAATCCTTCATGCACTTCACCGAATAACTGTGTCCTGCCATCAGTCCGCATAAAGCTGACATCAACAATCCAATCGGCGAATTCGGTTGGTGTCGTTCCCTTAAATGCAATAACTATAAATTTCTTATTCCGATCATAGAACGCGCCACAGAATGGACTCGCATTTGTTCCCAACTCAGATAATGACTTGAATTCTAGACCCCATTTCTGGGCTTGGCTATGAATATAAGAAGTATACTGATCCGGGGTGGTGGCCTTGGAAGGGTAGACGCCACCAGGAGCTTCATCACGTTCGTAAATGAGGGCCGAGAGAATTAACATAAATTCGGCAATATCAATGCTGAAAGAGGGACGTATGTACCGGGCGTCCGCGTAGTCCTCGTGATGGGTTATCTTTGTAATCTTGTCGTATTTGAGTCCGAACGAGGTTTGGAGAAATGAACCAGCCGTATCAACGAGTTCTTGCTTGACCTCATCAAACATCTTTGGGTGCTCTAATGAAGATGGAGGATAATAAATGTGTGAGCGCCACAAGTGAAAGAACAGAATATCGCTAGTATCCGCGCAAGTCCGTAATCAACGACATCAGTGACATTTACCTGTTTGGTCATGCTTGAAGCGACTTGCTATTCGAAATCCCACAGAAACAACAACCATAAGACCAGATGCCAACGGATATACTATCAGAGTTGTCAATGATCCAATAGGATGTCGAATGATTTGCGTCCAGTCAAACAAAAAAGTGAAAAGGAGCGTTTTCGCGGAACGACCAATGAATTTGAGGAGTGGTAAAGTGAAGGCATTCCTGTCATTATTAACCTTTGAAGAAGGGGATATAGGGTCTGGAGTCGATTGAGGGATGATTCGAGGAGATGATGGTGGAGATGTGGTGGTAGAGGATGAAGCAGAGATGTTGGAAGGAGTAGGGCTCTCGGGTAACAAGTGTGAAGCATTATTCGTTATTTCTGTGTTAATTCTGCTTTCTTGGCTATAATGGCAAGAGATATAAAAATTTAGATAAATATGAAGATTGTGTTGATCAAATAGTGTGTGACCACTCACGTTATATCAAGTAGATCTTTATTTGACGGGTAAGCTGTTGGTTTATCCATGTTTAAATGTTTAAGATTCTGTTTCTATCGCTATCTAATGGCCGTATTTATGCTGTTATTTTTTGATCACATGTTTCTTTACCGAAAGTCAACATACATTTCCGTTAGGGGTATTAAATATAAAATTATGCATTTATTATATATAACCATGTATACAATAACTAACAGTGAACAAAGTGTATATAACGGGTATAAGACTATTATGTGGCGCAGGCTCAAATTCAGTTCTGTGCTCATAATTTGTGTTTCCTGCAGAAAGTCCTGCAAGAATTAATACTACATACAGCTTGCATATTTCCTTTTCCTTGTTAGCTGTTTGTTATGCGGGCGAACCAGTTAAAAACTCGGGTATTAATATGGACACTAATCATTATCATCTTGAAAGTATTACAGAATTTGAATTTATAACACCATCTTTGGTCTCATTTTGTTGTCTGTCCCTGTTCGGGTTTTGAACAGTGAAAATGAGAAAACAATAAGCCACTTCAATCCCTTTGGGTAACCATTTGCGGAACTAAGTTGCATCACAGTGGAATGAAAATCAGTTCTTATTGGCTACAAGTGTCGGTGTATGCAACAAACAAATTAACTTTCCCAACCTGCAGAACGCAAATCATTCTGATGCAAACATGAAACACATTTTAGTGTGACAACCTTTTTCGTTCGATAATATTATTGCTATTAATAAATTCGAAGAGCGAAACCACAAAACTTGTCCTCCAGTTGACAGGAATGGAAATAAGAAAACAATACTTAGTCAGGTATTTACTATAAATTACTTGTATCCGATGGCTATTACTCTATATATTGTCCAAACTTTAACAAAGTTATGGCCGAACAACGTGGCGTCATCGTTGTGAAATGCCAAGTTCGAATGGGTCATATGTTCTGTTTGCATTACTAGAGTACAACTTTATTGATTCGAATTTAGTTGTTCGTACCCCCGCCAAAAGTTTTATCCATCAGTCAACAACAACTAGGCTGCGAATAAATTTAGCCATTTTGAGCCTTTTTATGATCAACTAGTCCATTTCCTAAAGTGCAGTGCCACGTGTTGCGTTTATTATCATTATGGACTTGCCAACTTGCGCATGCCAAGTCCGGAAGATGCTGCGATTTAAAGCAATGAAAAGAAATTCTACTGCGGATGAACCAAAGCCAAGAAGTATCGCCGGTGCACTAATTGTTTAAATCAAGGCGATAGAGTTAAATGCTGACGCAAAACAAATCCGAATTGAAAGTATTAATGGTAAGTACGTAATTTGCCTCGGATTGTTAGCGGGTAAGAGGAGGCATTAATTATCAATAGGTTCGTGTTCTTTATAAGACGCAACTAATGTGGACCGCTAAAGCTGCTGGCATTAATATTAATAGATGACAGTGAATCTTACAATCACATCAAATGTTACTGCGTATCGGAGTTTGTGGAGATTGGAGTAATGGTAGTGTCACACGACACGTGTATACAACGTTTAATGCCGACAACCGATGTGTTTGTTATGGTGAGTGTATTTGCCTCACGCGACCCCTTTGCGTAATATACCATGCATCAATGACTTGTAGGTTCCAGCTAATTATAGTCGTACAAATTTTTGCTGCAGCTACAAAAAATTTCATCGTGTTGAGGTGTGCCATTCAAGTGTTAATCGTACGTTCGGGGTCAATGGTTCATAAATAATCAGATTAAATAAAATACTATGACCGGTGGTGAAGCTCTACATAAATTAAACATGTCATTCGAAAAGCGGTTGAGGAAAAAATCGTAAGCGTCTTCAATTGGCTAACTGAAGTAATATTCCCACTTCTTCAATTACAGGTATTATATCAGCCATTTTTCAGATATAGTTTCTCCTCTTGTTTATAAGCCGTTTAGCGACAAGCACAACAACATATTGTAATGGAAAAATGTGAAAATAGCAAGTTTGCTAATTGCAAAATATAATAAAAGTTGATAACTAACGTAAAATAAAGTGCCGGTGTCAAGGAAATGGTGGTTTTGCCATGTTGTAAGCCCGTGGTAAAGCCCACCATACTTGAGATCCACGGCATATGATTTTTCAATCGGCTCTATTTCATATATGTTTTCCTTGCGGTAATAGTCTACTAAGTTAGCACACGCCCATTGAGGCCATAAAAATAACCTCCTTGTAAGACTTCTACACTAAAAAAAAATTGGGTGAAAAGCCTCGATTTTTTATGTATTGATCAGCTTGGGTATTTACTTTTATTTCTGACGTAGTTAAATAATCCGTTTATGCGCGTATCGACTAATTTACAACATTAAACAAATAAGTTAGCAACTTTTAATACAAGAATACAGATTTACTTGTCAAGTTCTCTCCCAATCGTTTCCGGAATCCCATTAACGTTAGATTTAACGGTGAATTGCACGCGCCCGTCGTCTTTAATCTTAAAGTGTAACAACACAAGATTTGCAGCGCCAGCGTCTTTTTTCAATGATGGGTGTACCACATGTGCACCAGCAATAATTTCAGAACCTTTGATAAACATATGCACTTTGTCAATTTCCGGAACGACAACAAACAACGGACCTCGCTACTGTTTTAATTGATACAGTACCTTTGCTTTCTACGATTCCGAAACGTCCTTCCTCTTCAAGTTGCCGTCTCAAGGACTCTAATGTATGCGATTTATTGGTGACTATACATGATTCATGTAATAGATTCACCCAAAGTAAACCAAATTCTCGTGTCGTCATTTGGACCGGGCTAAGGTGAGGCATAATAGCAACTATAAATAATGTTAGTGCATCACCCTTAAGAAAAAATTCCTACGTCATGAATTCGCACGGGATACTTACTCATCGGTCGTATGCTAGCGGTATCAAAGTCGATGAGGTTTTGACGTGATAAATTGCTCGATTCTTGGCTCAAGCGTGTCCTTGAACCTGACCCCAAACCACTGAACAAAGCTGACACCAACTGGGTTTTCTCTACACTAGGATCCTTGGATGTCATCGATGTCTATAAGTAATTTTATTAATAAATTATTTGTAATTAAATTTTCTATCCATTAATAGGTTTTTACCTTGATGGGCTTGACAGTTGCCTGTACAGTGGCCGATGCCAAGTGAGACCTAGCAAAAAGACGTGACAGAAATTTAGCGAAATCTTACGTAAAATATAATACGAATATTTTAATACTCACTCTTCATTTGAGCTAGTTGACAACGGTGGTGAAGATGGCCTAAACACGAAATGTTAAGAGAATTATACAATCTGTCTCATGATCTTTGAATTTCGCATCATCTGATAGATACCCTAATTTTGCAATTACTGGTCTATATCCAGCGCGACTCCACTTTTGTTCAACTACAGTTGCAAACGTCTTTGATATCGGGGATGACACGGATGATGCTATTGACTGACGATGCTGACTGAAAGAGAACTTTTGTTAAAAAAATAAAAACATGATACATTCATTCAGACTTTTTTGTTCAACCTCTCACCTTCCATCAAATTCGTCATGCTCTCGACCTAACACGGATTCTTGAGAGAAACTCATCCGTGCCAATTGACCCGGCGTGATATTCGGAGTCCAACTAGAAATGGGCACATTAGTGGCGGAATCGGTTCGGACAGAGAGGTTGGGTTTACGATATACTGGGATTGACGGTTTTTCGTATGCCTCATAACGGATTTCCAACTGTTTCTTATCTGCTTCATCAGCAAATGGAAATAAAAGACCGAGTCAGTAACGAGTTTAACAGGTCAGTCGCAACTCCACAGCATCCCCCACCTTCAGATACATGCGTCCGCGTAACAGGGACGGGAGAATAGGGTTTAGCGCCATTGTTTAACGCGTCTTGGACATAGCTGTCTAGAAAGGAAAGTTTTTCATCAAACTTTATAAAAAAACAATGCATTAATAAAGTTAGCGGTCGCCTTTTCAAAACGACAAAGCAATGAATCATACTTACTATGAACAGTTGATCATTCTTAATGTTGCTCTTTCCCAAGACCACCTTATTAAATAATATGGCGCTATTGTATAACTCTAGAAATTCTTTACTTTGCTAATGCAATATAACAAAGAATCAGTTTTGTACAAAAAGGGTAAGTTAAAAAAATGCTGTATGATGGTTACCTGTCTAACGTATACAGAGGTTGATCTATAGCATTTTCTGACTGCATCTAGAACCTTCTCTGGACACTCTTTTGTCGTTGCTACACATTTTAATAGTGAGTTTATTGTGTAAGCCTGAACCTCGGCATCTACATAATTTAAGATACAAAATAATGAGAATAACTTGTCAAAATTAAATACAGATTTACGTGAAGAGATTATTATAGCATACCTCTTGTATTTTCCAACACCGAGTAAAGCCTATCTATCACATTTTTAGAATCTTCATGATATTCAATACATGCCCCAAGTACCTACAATTGATGATACAAACCGATTCAATATTTTATATACAAAAGTCAAATAAATAAATAAATAATAAGGCGCATACCCGAACTACAAAGATAATCAGATTTCTATTAAGATGTTGTTTATCCCTTTCTAAAATCTTGATAGATTCCTTTACAGCTGTCATCTGTAAAGTTTCGTTACTGGACATATCCTCAGACCCTTAAACAAAAATTAATTAGTATCATGAACTTTCACCGCTAGTGTATTTACGAAAGCAAAATAGTTACCTTTGATTATAATCCTAAAACTTTTATCAGAAAGGTCATAACAAATCAAATCACCAGCCACGTCATGCAGCTTGATTAACGTAGCCACAAGCCAGTCTGGAGCCAAAGGGAATGTATGATTTCCGTCAAAAAAAAACGCGGTCAAGGATTAAGCTCCCGACTTTTCAAACTTAATAGTCGTACAAAAGGATTTAAAGGATATTTTCCACAAATATCGACCACTCTGATAACGAGTTCCTTTCTCAGAAAATTGTCCGGTGTCAACGCAGAACCTATCGCGTCGATCATTCTATCTACTATTACGGTTGCATTTTGCAAATTGACCATTTTATAAAGAATGTCTAAAGTCTATAGTGAGAAATAGTATCCATTAGCCCGTCATAAGTTTATATGTATAGCAAGCCGCCAAATGTTTCCTACCTTCTTTTTCAAAGTCTCATCTTTGTCCTCGAGACAGTCCACAATCACATTCATCTGCTCTTCACCCCACCATCCGCCTTCTGTCCACCAGACAGGGTCAACCTGTTGAAGAGCAGTCAATCCTAGATATTTCAAGTTGTGATTATGCGATTTGAGAAAGCGCGCTATGATGCTGAGAGGATTCTGTGTCCCAGACTTGTTTACGAGGGAGGGAAGTACGCGTGGATGTAAAAGAGAGAGAGAACGGATGCATTCAAATATTATGGCTAGGGGCGGAATCGTAGTATACTAGTAAGTGAAATTGCAGGCAAACTTGACATTGGTCGAAAACAGAAATTTTTAAAAAAAAAAAGTTACCATATGCCGCATCCACGCCATCCTCCGCTTTTCTCAGTACGCGAATAATCAATGGCTCTATCTCCTGACTTATTCTTATAAAATCATCAAACAATTAATTGTTTGACAAGCATACCAGAAATAACGAAACAAGACGCAAGCCTTACTCTTCATCGTCCTTGGCCAATAGTCCCAGAATTCTCACGAGCTTAATTTGAATCCAAGGAGCGGATGCACCGTGGTAATCGTAAGCTCTGGGCAACCATCGATCAATAACTTGTTCTAATTTGCTTATTAACGTCGGAACGATGTCTTTATATTTCTCGGGCTTATCCTGGAAGCGAATTTTTTTAACGTATTAGATGGATTAACCAACGAAACCACGCAACAGCTGCTTAGTTCACGTTAGCTTTTTTGCTACCTCTTTCATCACACCTGAACTAGATCCGAAAATAAGCAAAGAATAGCACTGAGGGTACCATAATCTTTATTGGCTAGTATCTCTCGAAAGGTGTCTTCAAGATGGGATATGGTATCGGGTGCAATACGATATAACCGTTGGCAGACCATCACTGCTTTTCTTCTGACAGAGTCGCTGTTATTGGCGAGTGAGGTTTTAAGATAGAGTTGAAACGCTTGCAATGCGCTATCTTGGCCTCACATCACGCATCTTTCAAAATTCCCCCCGCAGTCTGCTATTTGTCTGATCCGTAGCAGGTATTCGAATACATATATTCTTGCTACATTCCCACTTACTTTGAATGTTTAAGTGCTCCTTCGATGAGTTGAATGACTGCTGGTATCATCTCCGGATAGAGTAAGCTACAAAGAGCTGATATCGCTGCGTTAACTTCTAGCTCATTACTACTCTTTAAATCCTGCAAAAAGATTCGTATGGTACATCAAAATAGATTGCCTCGATCAAAAAATCAGTACAAAGAGTTATCTACTTACCTTTTGAACCGTGTTGATGAGCATTATGCTCAGCTCATGAGTTTCATAAAGAAATAAAGAGCACGCGAGATATCCTGTTTTAAATGCAAACCCGGATCAGTATTACTCTAACGATTGCTACGGAATTGCGATTTGACTTGATATGCACAAATCTACCAGCCCGCTTCTCCCATATGTTTTTTCCACTTTGGGCCAGCTTGACAGCGTGAATATAGCCGAATTCGACATTATGTCCTAACATGTCACAATAAATTAAGCGAATTATATAGTCTTTCATCTTTTTCTGATCCACAAATGTGGGGGGTGATGAAGATAAAACAGACAAAGGAAATTCAATTAGCAAGTTCCAAATCAATCCGAGTCCAATGAACAATAAACAGATAATTGTTTGTACACCCACTGAAGAAATTTCAGGTTTTGATAGTTTCTTTGTCAGGGAGAGGAGTTCCTCTGACACATAGAGATCCTCTTCCTAGAAACACAAATGTGATATATAAGCATTCATTGTCATTCTCGCGTAGGGTTTGCTCGATGATAGCGGATAAAAACCATTCTCTATGTATCAAACCTGTTTACTTCTTGCATCTGCGACTTTCGTAACAAATTCAAAGAGTCCGCGACTAAGTCCTGAGGTTAAGAAAGTCGTATTCAAAAGTGTTGGAACTTTGGCAGTCGTTGATGACATAATCGTCGTTCTTCGATACGCGGCGTATATCCACTAGGAATGGATAATTATTGCTTTGATGAATAAAGGTACGATTTATTACAAAGAGTCACGACTATCAATCAATTTAAACATACCAGAATTTAGTTCTTGCACACAAAAAAAGATTATCGCTAATGCAAAAAAGGCTAGTGTACAATTCCGACGTGAGTGTAATGCATATTATTGCCTAGCCAATAGCAGTCCGACAAGATGACACATATCTGCCGCGTATAATATTGGATGTTTATTCAACGTCTACAACACTGTTTCCAGATTTGCAATATGTGAAATTGCAACAGCATACTTGATTTTTATTTACCTTGTTGAAACTGCAGAATTTTCTATTGCGTTGCATGGCGTTTCTTTAGATTATATTCTATTACTATTATTATTACTATAGCTCGAAAAATTAATGCGGAAAGCGTTATATACCAAAAGAAAACAACAAACAAACAAACAAAACGATACATTAACATAAACAACGCATAATATAATATGGCTTTACTCCTCCGTGTAAGCCCCCATTC